ATACAAACAATGGAATTTTAAAAGCTATTGTTGGTTATTTCTTGAGATGAGATCTCTATTCTACTTATGCTTAGTTAACTAGTTTATATGAAATTTGGTATTTGAATGTTAATTTTTGGATTGTGAAACCAATCAACCATCCAAAATAATTTAAATTGTAATAGGTAAAGAAAAAAAAAATTAATTGGGTCAACCCGCGGGTTGACCCGTGACCTGTGATGGGCGGGTTAGGGTCTGTCTTCATTGACTCGTAACCCGTTTTAACCCAACCCGTTTTGACTCATTACCCGTTCTGACCCGACCCTAACCCAACCTAACCCACCCGTTTGCCAGGTCTAGTTAGAACTTAATATGATTTCTAAATACCGAAAAATTAGTAAATAAATAAATAAATAAAGTTTACTGCCTAGGTAGAGCATGGCCGTGATGAAGGGAATCGAATTCTTTTTTCAGATTTTGTGCATATTTGGTGCAGATTGTGAAAAGAGTTTTTTAGCTCTAAAAGCACAAGCTGCACTAAACGAGCCAATTTCTCAAATGTGCTGTAGCTTCCTAGAAGGACATCTTCTTCCCATTCCTTTGCAAATCCCGGAAACACTGATTTCGTGCTTCTGCGAGAGCTTCTCACTTTAGGTGAATGAAATTGACATGATATTTCCATTTTATCCTCACACTTCCTTTTATTTACAAAAAAACCAGTATATATAGGGTTCATTTTATGACTACGTTTCTTTCTTTCTTTCTTTCTTTCTGAAGCAGCCGAATCCTACGTTTCTTCTCCCTGCCTTCTTGCCCATCTTCTTCCAAAGCAGACCAGAAAATCCCCACCGTCAGTCACTAGTCTTCTTTCTCCGTAACTGCTTCAAAGCAGAAAAGTACAACTCAACGCCAAAATCCCATTTCTCCTCCTCCTTCTGTGAGTCTCCTTCCTTTTCTTTGATTTTTTTTTTTCCTTTTTTAGTGTTTCTGCTACTAATTTGGTGGTGATGAATGATGATTGTTGGTTGGTAACGTGAGCTGGTAAAAGTTTTAACTGAAAATCCCTTCTCGTTCCTTGTCTTCTTGCAGATCTGGGTCACGAGACGACCGTCGACAACTGTTGAGGACCGCCCAGACCACTGCGATAATCCTTTCGACACCAATTGATAATTACTGATGTTCTGTTATTCTTGATTCCGAAAATGGGTTTTAACCCATTTCTTTATATTCAATTTTGACTTCATGTGATTTTTTGCTTCCGTCTGTGTCAAGTAGCGTAATAGTTGTTTTCCTGCCCCAATATAGACCAGATTCTAATATTGTTTTAGCTTTTGGAAGTTGGGTTTGAGTCCATTTCAATCTTTATACCCCATTGATATAAATATTTGGTTCTGATTTGTTGAGAGCATATTTGGAAATTTTGTTTTTTCTGTGTTCTTCATTTCCTAGAAAGGGAGAAAAATATGGAATATGATTTGGAACCTTTTAGTTGCTAATGCTGAGGGATTATAGAAGACAAAAAGAACCAAAATTTTTGTTTATTTGGTTCTAATTCGCTGAGAACATGGTTGTGGCTTTCATTTTTGGTATGTTCTTCATTTCCTAGAAAGTGGAGAAGAAAAAGGAATGTAATGTGGAACCAGAAAGAACCAGAATTTTTATATACTGAAATTGATATCCAAGTTCGACTGAGGTAGCATTAAAAACTTATCTGCAGCACTATATAGTTGTTTGTGTTCAAGTAGCATTTTTCCTGTTTGTTGTCATGTATTAGAGTTGGAATGTCTCATGTGAACTCCTTTTTGGAATTAAATTCAACTTGGCAAATCTAGAGTCAATCTTATGCTTCTCACTTCTTTTTCTACATTTATGATGATAATGTTATAGATCTTATTGAAAATTGTTTAGAGGGATAATAGAGATGAAGTCACCCTCTTCACAGGATTGTAAATAACAACATTATGTTTAGGAGGAATCTATATTCCAGATGGCAAACCTATCAGCTTTGAACTTTCTTCGTGTCATTGTCCTTGGTTCTTGTTTTATTGAGAGATTAAAACCAAGTCTAGTTGGTTTGAGCTAGGAAAGTGAATCTTTACTTAAACCCGACTTTATCAGACTTGGCAACAATGTGTAGAAGTAGAATCAAGAATGAGAATATTACTTAAAATAATTTTATTAATTTTTGCAGCCAAAGTATTGGAGATATGGGAACCAGAGGAGTAATTGGAGATAAGTGGTCCATAACGATTCTCTGGGTGTGTGCAATTGGAAGTGCAATCAATATGCAATTCTACCTTTCTTTTGAGTATTTTGCTTTTATTTCGATGATTGTCAAGCCAATATTATCAGATATTCAGTCTTTTCATCAATCATCATAAATGTGTTCTCAGCCATACATAGCTTATGCTGATAGTTACCATGATTTCTTGCTTTTGTAGGCCTGTATATGGTTGCTGTAGAAAGACAAATAGGGAACGAATGATGGCTGAAAGTTTGAAGGCCATGGAATCTGAAGGTAGCGGTGAAGAACTTTGAATCTTGACATGCTTAAATGTTCTATAAATCACTAATAACAACTTGTTGAAGACCTCCAGATTTTACATCAGGATTTAGGATCACCTTTTTGTTGAGAAGGTTTCTCATGTATGGATTTTGTAAATGATCCATACGATGGTTTTCATCTATTGACATCATTAAACCAAAATTTTAAAAAGTTAGAAGAACAACATGTAACACTATCATCTATGGGTTTTAGTTGTAGAGTTACTTGTATTTTTAGTCATAAGTTTAGGGTTTAATCCTTAGTCACTACATATATATATATATATATATATAAAGAACATGTAAATTATAAGAATATATATTCATACAAGTTCCATGATCCGAGCTTTGATGAAGTGAACCAACTCAACAACATTGTTATGAATATCCTTGGTGGTTTTGCCTTCTCTTACCCATTTACTAGCTTCACTATATATCATAAGCCTTGGTTTAAGGCATATTAATGCAAAGTACAGAGTTGGAAAATAAAGTCATATAAAAATATTAAAAAA